AAATAAATTTAAAGGCTTTGCAGACACCATCGCCGCCTGGAGCCTTCTACTATCAGCCATGGTCAACCCCACTGTGTTCTTCGACATTGCCGTCCACGGTGAGCCCTTGGGCCACGTCTCTTTTGAGCTGTTTGCAGACAAGTTTCCAAAGACAGCAGAAAACTTTCGTGCTCTGAGCACTGGAGAGAAAGGATTTGGTTATAAGGGTTCCTGCTTTCACAGAATTATTCCAGGGTTTAAGTGTCAGGGTGTTGACTTCACATGCCATAATGGCACTGGTGGCAAGTCCATCTACGGGGAGAAATTTGATGATGAAAACTTCATCCTAAAGCATACAGGTCCCGGCATCTTGTCCATGGTAAATGCTGGACCCAACACAAACGATTCCCAGTTTTTCATCTGCACTGTCAAGACTGAGTGGTTGGATGGCAAGCACGTGGTCTTTGGCAAGGTGAAAGAAGGCATGAATATTGTGGAGGCCATGGAGCGCTTTGGGTCCAGGAATGGCAAGACCAGCAAGAAGATCACCATTGCTGACTGTGGACAACTTTAATAAGTTTGACTGGTGTTTTATCTTAACCACCAGACCACTCCTTCTGTAGCTCAGGAGAGCACCCCTCCACCCCATTTGCTCGCAGTATCCTAAAATCTGTGCTCTCGCTGCAGTTCCCTTTGGGTTCCATGTTTTCCTTGTTCCCTTCCATGCCTAGCTGGATTGCAGAGTTAAGTTTATGATTATGAAATAAAGACTAAATAACAAAATAAATAAATAAATTTAAAAAAAGAAAAAAATAGTTTATTACTCTATTATACTAATCTAATTAGTAATAGCTAATTGCTGATGCTAATTAAATTACCAGTTTATTTATCAATAAATAAACACTTACTGAGCACAATATGCCAGATGCTCTTCTAAACTCTTTATGTTAACTTATTTAACCTTCACAAACACATTTTTAAGTAGGTACTGCTCATAACCCCATTTTACAAAAGAAAAAATTAAGTTTTAGGGAGTTTAATTGCTGACTCAAGGCCACATAATTGATAAGTTGCAGGTAAAATTTGAACCCATTTCTGCAGATGTCAAGCTGTGCTTTTTTTGTTTTTCCATCATGCTACTGACTCCCAAACCAAACAAAACTGGCAGCCCAGATTCCTTCAGCAAGAATGACTCCTGATTGATGTAACACATGTCTGTTATGTTATAAAATAGTTCCCCCAGCAACCCCACCTGTAAGACCCACCAACCTTGAAGAACAAAGTGGGAGTCTGACCGCTCTTCAAAGGGAGAGATCGCAGGAAGCATGATGTCGTGAGCCCTCTCTCTGCTAAGAGCTAGGAATGTAATCCGGGACCTGTCGTGGCCCTCTCTGATACTCAGCATCCTCATCTGTAAAAGGAGAAGATAAGTAATTTGGCTCCAAACAAGATTCCTTCCAACCCTGGCATTCCATAATCCTAAGAAACAGCTACCATTTATTATTTCCTCTGTGCCAGATACTGTGCTGAGTATTTCACATAATCACAAAATCATCATAGCCAAAAAACAGCTGTGATGGAGCTGCAACTGATGAAGCACTGGTTATTTGCCAGGTTCTGCTGTAAGTACCTCACCGTGTAGTATCTCATTTAATCCTCAGAACAACACAAAGAGGAAGGTATTATCAAGGTTCTAAGGCTCAGAAGAATGATACAAGTCTGCTCAAAGTCTCCCAATCATTAAGTGCTGCTCTTGAGGTTTGAACCCACATTTTTCTGATTCCATAACCCATGCTTTTAATCACTGCACTACTTCAAGTGCCTCCTCAGCATCAGGCAAGGACAGACACCAGGAACAGGCTGTGTTGGTTTTCGCTTGCCTCATTGACTATCCATCTGCAGTTGTTTTTCTTCTATTCTGGTCATCAATCATAGTGTGACTTAAATGGGTCAGGGGAAAGAGTCCCAGCTGCTATGCACGGCCACAGCAGCCACAGCCCACAGACCTTTCTGTGGGCTTCCTGGGCAGCATGAGTGGAAACTCCTATCTGTGAAAATGAATTGACAAGGTTGGGGGAGGGGTCCCCTTGTTTATTTAGTCATCACTCCCCAAGGCTAAACTGGTGGCCTGGCAATAGTGAGTATTTTCTCTGAGCTCAAAGCCAACTCCAAGTGCTCAGGATGAACAGGTTGGGAAACTTGAGAACCACACAGACATCAAGGAAAATTCCATGAGTGGTTGTCTGTGGTGGAAGGATGATATGGCCTTGAGTTTGCTTTCCCCAAGTCCCCAGGAGAACTTGGAAGCTTCCCACTTTTCCACCTCCCGCCTCACTTAGAACGAAGTAAACCAAGAAATTCTAGGAGGCAGCCCAACCTGAAAGAGCTGGCTTCTCCAGGAAAGGAGAGGGGAGGGTGAAGAGGCCCAGGGTCTGTCTGTCTCAAGGGGATGGTGGGTCACAGAAGTCACTGACCAGATCCCACTGGTCTGACCACAGACTTTTCTAATCCTGTGGGCTGACCTGCACCCAAATGATTGCAGATGGGATCAGAGATGAAGGTCTCACCAGTCAGAGGAAAAGTATCCAAGTATCAGGAGAGATCTTGAGGCATAGTTCCAGGAGGAGCCTTCTAAAAGCAGGCAGTGTTTGAATTGAAAGAAACTTCCAATTTAAAAAAAAAAAAATGCCTTTCTGTGAGGTCACTCACTATGAGGCAGGAGAATAGGGTCTGGAGACAGGGAACATAAGGCCGATTCCTGCTGACTTCCTAGAATTAAATTAAATGGAAACACTTCAGCTATGACAGGAAATATCCTCTCCATTTACATAGGCCGTACACTGACTTTGTTAACTTCTTTGTAACTTCATCCTCTTCATTTATATAGGGTGTACACCAAGTGACCAATGGAAAGCTCTAGAGCATTTTTAAACCCCAGAAAATTCTGTCATGGGGCTCTTGAGCCCCTATGCTTGGCCCGCTCTGTGGAGCATACTTTCATTTTCAATAAATGTCTGCTTTTGTTGCTTTATTCTTTCCTTGCTTTGTTTGTGTGTTTTGTGTAATTCTCTGTTCAAGATGCCAAGAACCTGGACACTCTCCACTGGGAACAGCCACAACCAAGTCACCACATTGCACTACCTGTGCTTCACTCCTCAAAAACAGTTGCTAGCATTTATTCAGAACCTTCTCTGCTCTATCAATTAAAAAAAAAAAAACACCTAGTATTTCTGGAAAAAAACCATAAATATACTCAACTTTAACAAACAGTGTAGACATATCAAGAATTCCATTTCTTACCCACAAGAGGACCAGTCTTGACCCTTTACTGTGTGGTTTTAATTGCAATGGTCACTAAGTTTTTTTCTCATCTAAACAGCAACATATAGATATATCATTGGTATAGGTTGGTTTGTGATCAATCAGACTGGTATTGTTATATTCCTGGGCCCCAAGGGAATCTGGGGTCACAAGGATCTGATTTCAAACTTCAGCTCAGCCATTTTATTTCTTCAAGATCCTAAATAAATAACCTATGCTTTCTGGGCCTCAGTTTTCCCATCTACAAAATGGAGCTAGTCCTTGTACTACCTAACTCAAGAAATTGTAATAAAGCTCAAAAGAGATAATGTGCATAGAAAGCATCTGGAACATAGTAGGGGCTTTATAAACTTAATTCTTCCCCCCTAACTCCTTATACTAGGCACAGGAAATATTACAGTAACTAAAAAAACAAAAAATCCCTTGCATCGCAAACCCTACTCCTCTACCTCTGTTTCCTAATCCCACCACCTATACCCCAAATCCCAACATTCTGGTCCCCTGTGCTAAGAAAATACCTGAAAATCTTCTCTTCCCAATGTCCATCAGGGTAGCTCCCTAGGTATATTCAAGCACAAGGCTAGGGGACCAGCAATGTCAAGACCCTGAGAATGCACTGCCCACAGGTCAGTGCTTTGCTCCAGCCGATGTCTTAGTGACTCCAGCCCCTGCAATGATACCTTTCCTCCCAGATGCCACAGCAGTCTTTACCAATGCTCCTCTTTGGATGACCATTTGATAATCTCTCAAAAATGATCTTATCTATTTCTGTCCAACTTCACCCCTCACCCCAGGAAAGGCATTAAAACCATAAAGAATGGTATCTTTAGCAAAAATGATTAAGAGTTCAGGCTCAGAAATGAAGCAACCTCAGTTTGAATCGTGGCTTTGTCACTCACCTTCTTGACCTTGGCAGGGTTACCTAACCACACAAAGCAGAATCATGACTTCTGTGGGATGAGGGTATTACAGGTCATACTCACAAGGCTATCATGATGATTTGTGAAAACCATTCACTTAAAATATTTAGCACAGTACCTGAAACATCGTAAAAGCACAGTATATGTATTAGTCAGTTTTCACGCTGCTGACATACCAGAGACTGGGAAGAAAAATAGGTTTAATGCACTCACAGTTCCTCATATCTGGGAAGGCCTCACAATCATGGTGGAAGGCAAAAGGCACTTCTTACCTGGCAGTGGCAAGAGAAAAATGAGAAAGAAGCGAAAGCAGAAACCCCTTATAAAACCATCAGATCCCGTGAGACTTATTCACTACCAAAAGAATAGTATGGGGGAAACTCCCCTCTGCCCCATGATTCAATTCTCTCCCCCTGGGTCCCTCCCACAATACATGGGAATTATGGAAGTATAATTCAAGATGAGATTTGGGTGAGGACACAGAGCCAAACCATATCACTAAACAATTGTGTTACTGTAACCTGGCCATTGAAGATATATAGACTATTAGCATTTGGAAACCCTCTCCCTAAAAAAAAAAAAAAAAGGTGGGGGGTGGGGACAAGGATGATAAAATTAAGAAAGAAAGAAAAATATTTTTAACAATTTTTTTAAAGAAAAGTGAAGTGCATGAATTGGTTAGGATCTGCTCTAGATACTACACATAAATTCTCATTCAACTTTTATTATACCCTTTGGAGCAAATACTTCCCTCAATAGAGGCACAAATAGAGGCATGGTTGGAAACACACTACCTGAGTTTGAATGTCACTTAGCTGTGTTACCTGGGGTAAGTGGCTTAATCTCTCTGGGCCAATTTCTTTGTCCAGTAAAAAGAGAATAATGGTACCTATAAGGTAGCAGTGAGGATTAAATGTTTTAATATATATAAAGCAGTAAGAAGAGTATCATGCACATAGTAAACACTCAATACATAATGTCTACTGTTACCTTTTATAGAAGCTGAAACTGAGGTTCGATGAGGTTAATTGATTCATCCAAACTCACAGGCTTGTAAGCAGCAGGAGTAGAATTTAAATCCAACTCAGTCTGACTCCGAAGTCAATGGAATGTTTCTTCTACTACTCTTTATCACATACCTGGTACGAAAATACCCAGGCCTTTTTCAAGGCCCGAAGAGTGTGGGTCCTGGGCTTTAAAGAGAATGATGGGGTTTCTGGCAAAAGAAAGACCAAGAAAAGAGAACTGTTTTGGGGAGAAAGGTGGTAGATGACATTACGGCATCAGAAAGTAATTCTGCAAATCAAACAATGTTTTAGGTCATATTGCTGCCTGTGAGTACAGCTGGCATCCACACCAATTTGAAAACCTTTTTTGGGAGAGTTCCAGACACGCTGTTTAAATTTTGAAGAGGGGAGGGGCAGGGGGAGTCATGGTGGCTGTATGTTTCTGTGGAGCTGGTTTTCCTGTGCACAGACCCTCCCTGGGGTCCAGCCATCAGGGAGGCATCTTTCCAAAGTACTAAAGCAAATAGGCTGGTGCCTCTCTGCCGGGCCCAATGCTTTCAGTTCATGGAACGTGAAATCCTGGAGCATGAGAATGACGAAAACGTGAGGAAAGGCAGCAAGCTGGGAGGCCATAGCGGGTGGGGTATTTATTCAAAGACTTCATGTGACTATCAATGGCTGTAGGATTAGCCATGATTAATTTTCCTCTTCAGTGTTTGCTTAAGCACTGAACCTATATTGCTTTGGTGATTAGAAAAGAAGTGGTTGAAACAAAGCAGTTAAAACAACTACATGTGGTAATCTCTGGCTTGTGAACTTACAGGGTGATTTGTGTTGCTGCTTTGTGTGTGGTTTTTTTTGTTGTTGTTTTTTGCTTTACTCTATTTTCTTATAGTGAAGCTAGAAGCTAGAAGCTAATGCTTTCAACGTGTAAGGCATTAGGTTTTAAAAGAAAAAAGAACAAATATATTGAAACCCAAACAAGAATGCTTTCACATGAATGTGGGTTGTAACTACCCAGGCCTCCTTCGCTCCTGTCACAACATGTTGAAGGCAAAATTAGGTAATATCCTCTCTCCCTCACTGAAAAGGAAAACCTGCCAAGATGTGGTGGCTGCTCTCCCTGGAGTGCTGGGCACAGGTAATTTATTCCACCAGGACCACGAAATCAAGGGACCAGTGCCTTTTTTTATTGTTGTTGCTGTTCAACTGACTAGCCTGATTATTTTTTACAAAATGAAAAGAAAATGTGTTTCCACCTGACACAAAGTTATGTTGTGTCAATTAGCTCCATTCAGGAAGGAAATGTTCATATTCCCTAGAGAAATCTTTGAGGGATGTTGATTCAAATGCAAACATATATGAGCTCTTCAGAGGTATAATTTCTTCCAGTAAAGAATAGACTGGCCCAAAGTCAATGCTGTCATTTATTTTGGGGTTTATTTTCTGGAAAGAAAGAGAGCAAGAGAAACAGGCAAGGAATAAGTTATAAAAATCAAGAAAAATAGTGTCAACAATTAATGATAATACCTAGGACAAAGGGGCCTAAAAATGGTTTTTCTTACCACCCTCCCCCCCAACATTTTCCAAATGAGAAAGCTAGGCACAGAGAAATTAGGTAATTTTCCCATTTCAAACAGTTATATGATGATAGAAGCAGGAATAGAAGCCAAATTTCCCAATTCCGGACCTGGCCCACTTTCAATTCTATACACTCTGCCTTCAGGTGCAGGGAGGTGTGTGTGACCTACCCCGTGCATTACAAAGGCCTTGACATTTAAAAGATTAAACATTTGGATGATGCCTTGGGAGTATTTCTTCAAAGATAGTTCTCTCAAAAGAGTTGGATTAAAGAAGGCTGGTAACGAGAGGGGTCTGTATAAGTTAGGGTGCGTTAACATACCAGCAACAGAGAATCTGACTCAAACTGGCTTATATCATAATGGAAATTTTGTTGAAAATGCAGTGGTATGACCACCTTCAGGGGGTGCTTGTTCCCTCCCTAAATCAAAAATGGTCCAGTTTGTCTCCATCTCCTTGTCCTGCCTTGGGCTGTGGGATCTTCCTACGTAGCCTTAACTCAGTAACTCTCAGGACAAATCACTTTCCTTCCCCAGACCTCAATTCCCTATCTGTAAAATGCAGGGGTTGGTCACTAAATGAGCCTAAGAGCCCTTCCATCTGTAACAGCATTTCTCAAAAGGTAGACTACAGACCACTTGCATGAGAACAGCTACTTAGAATGTTTGTTAAAACATGCATTCCTACACTCTAGCCCAAACCCACAAAATCACAATCTCCTGTCCTGAGAGCACAGGAATCTGGGGTTTACAAACTCACCTAGAAGATCCTTGTGTTAACTGAAGTTTCTTGGAAACATTTGCTTCCAAGGCAAAAGAGCCTAAAATGGGAGCAAATCATAGCTAGTAAGCCAAATCCTGCAAGAGCATTAAGAATGGCTTTTACATTTTTACAGTGTTGTCTAAAAAAAAAAAAAAAAAAAAAAAAAAAACCCACACATCATACTCACAATATGGAACAGAAACCTTACATGGCCCATAACACCTAAAATACTATCTGGCTCTTTACAGAAAAAAGTTTGCCAACCCCTTGTCTAAAATAATGAGATCACTGAATGGTGGAAAGAAAGGCAGAGGGTAGATCTGAAGAAGAAGTTACAGGACTGATGAGGCCAGGCATTCCTGGGAGCAGGAGTTTTCAATGTTCCATCAGCTCCATGGAGAATCAAACAAATTTAAAAACATGCTCAAGTTCTGGTATTTATCTTAGAAAAATCTTTTCCAGGGGATCTCCTGGAGTCTCTGGCTGGTCCATCCAATGTCTAATATTGACATAAAGGGCAGCAGGAACACAGTAAAGGCTAAAGAAGGACCAGGTCAACCTGCACTCTCTTTGCTCTGAAAGCCTCCAGTCAGCTGTCATTCATATCATAGGGAACACTTTGAGGGCAGCCTGTGGTGGCTTTTTTCTACGCCTTCCCTCCAACCATACTGATCAGCTAAGGAAAAGTGTTTTCAGAGAGCCATTCTGGATCTGTGAGGTAATTTTCAAGGGAATTGACCAGAAAGAGATCCCAGTTCTTTTCAGACAATTGACAAGAAAGGCTCTACATTAGGAGCAATAGTAGAAAAGACCATGGCTTGTGAGTCAGACAGTCCTAAGGTCAAGTCCTGCCCTTGAACCTACTTATTCTATGACTTTAGACTTGCTCTGCATAAGACAGTAGCCACCAGCCCCATGTGGCTAATTTACATTTAAATTTATTAAAATTAAGTAAAATTTAATATTCAGCTCCTCCATCACACTAGTCACACTAGTCAACCCACTATCTGCATATAGCTCATAGCCATCATATCAGACCGTATACATACAGGATTTTCCCACCAGTATAGAAAGTTCTACCAGGCAGGGTGCAGTGGCTCATGCCTATAATCCCAGCACTCGGGGAAGCTGAGGCAGCCAGATCACTCAGATCACTCAGGAGTTTGAGACCAGCCTGGGCAACGTGGCGAAATCCCATCTCTACCAGAAATTAAAAGATTAGCCAGGCATGACGGTGCACGCCTATGGTCCCAGCTACTTGAAGGGCTGTGGTGGGAGGATCGCTTGAGCCCAGGAAGCGAAGGAGGCAGTGAGCCGAGGTCATGCCACTGCCCTCCAGCCTGGGTGACAGAGCAAAACTGTGCCTCAAAGAAATAAATAAAGTTCTACCAGACAAAGCTGCTGTGGACAATCTTCCAACAGTCTGTTCCAGTCTGTCCTCTGCCTTTCTTTCCACAACCTAATTGTCTCATTACTCTATGTTCCATTGCCTTGAGAACAAATGGTCATTAAACTTCAACATAAGCCTCCATTTTCTCATTTGTAAAATAAGCATAATAATATATCTCTCAGGGTTGTTGTGAGGATTATAGAAGCTAGGGCAGGCAAAATAATAAGCACAATAGCCAGTGCATAGAAAGTGCTCAGTAAATGGCTCTTACTATTATTGTGCACAAAATCTCAGGCTCACTTGATATTCTCCCAACCTCCTCTAGGCCAGTGGTTCTCAAACTCTAACATGCATAAGAATCACCTGGGGCTTACCAAATTCCAGATTGCTGGAATCTGCCTCCAGAGTCTCTGATTAAGTAAGTCTGGGGATAAAGCCTGATAATTTGCATTTCTAACAGGTTCCCAGTTCTTGATGAGGCAGCTTTCTGAACCACACTTGGAGAACTGCTTCTTTAGGCAACTCTTCATAAGCCATTACTATCTCTTTGTTGGGGGAGTTATTTCTTTGTGAATGTTGTTTTTTCCTGACCTTACCATGTTAACTCATCCCCCCCACTGTCTTCAAACAAGCTATTTCCTCTAATCCCCACGAACCCCCTTTGTCTGCCAATTTTCCAGCCCTAACTCAGACTTTGATAAGCCTGGCTAACAGCTTCCTTCTCATTTCTCCACCCGTGTATCACTGGTTTTTTCTCTGTGCCACCCGTTACACCTTGCTAATTTGTTTGCTGCAGTGTAACCATTGTTTCTCTGCATTTCCCAAAGTGCAGGACGTGCTCCACTGTTGGACCTGAGGCAAATTTTTGTGGAATATCGACAATTTTGGATGATAACAGAGAAACAAATGACACCAAACCATATGGTAAGAAAATTATTATTGTTAATTCTCTCCAAATTCTTCTGTTTACACTAGGAGAAAGCCTCAGTCAGGAGCTGATGTGTCTTTCTCCTCGTGCTAATAATCCTCCAGCTCAGAGCCAGAGTCATGTAATTCCATCATCACTATAATCATCATGATCATAAAAAAGTAATGTTACTTGGCTGGGTGCAGTGGTTCACACCTGTAATCCCAGCACTTGGGAGGCCGAGGTGGGCAGATCACCCGAGTTCAGGAGTTTAAGACCAGCCTGGCCAACATGGTGAAACCCATCTCCACTAAAAATACAAAAATTAGCCAGGTGTGGTGGCTCACACCTGTAATCTCAGCTACTTGGGAAGCTGAGGCAGGAGAATCGTTTAAACCTGGGAGGCAGAGGTTTCAGTGAGCCAAGATCACACCACTGCACTCCTGCCTGGGTGACAGACCAAGACTCTGTCTCAAAACGAAAAAAAAAGTTACTTAAATTCATACAGTGCTTTCTGTGTGCCAGGCAATGTTAGCAGCGTTATAAGTACTTTATATATATTTACATAT